TATTGATTTAAAGGCGATATAGGGATTTTCAAGAGTGTTTCTGACTTTACACATTTTTTTGGCTTTACGCAAAGTCCCACGAATGTAACCCCCGTGTAAGTTGCGAGTCTACTATACTGTATACAGACATCCCCCTCGTTACAGAATCCATGGTTATGGAATTTTGCCCTTACGGAATTTTGAAATTACTGTATGATCTGAATTTTGGGCAACGGAAAACAAATTTGCCCTTATGAAATTTTGGTAAATAAAGAAAAATGTGCTCTTTTTGACCCCAATTTATACTAAATTAAAAAAATATTGTGTGTGGATTTTCTGTGTTGGCCACAAGGCTGCTCACCTCCCCAGCCACCACAACAATGGCTCTGCTCAGTTAGAATTCTTTCATCCAGTTTGTGCTCAGTTGTGCATCTGTGTTCAGGACTGTATTTACCCGTACGGAATTATGGTTAAGTTATTAAGATTAAAAAAATAAAAAAATAAAAAAAATCACAATATTGAACAAAACTTTTCACTGAAATTCTAAAATTTATTTCGTGTGAGTTCTGGCTCACCTCTCCTACCTCTCCACCTAATAGGAACCACATCAACAATGGTGCTGCTCACTTTGAAATTTTTCCCAGTTGGTGTTCAGTTATGCGTCTGTTACTATGTACCCTTATTCAGGATGAGTGGAAAAAGACCATCAAGTTCATGTGAAAGCAGTGGTGATGAAAGATTCCATAAAGGAATTATATTGGACTATAAACTTGATGTTTTAAGGAGGTAACTCCCAGTAACTCTGATCCCACCTCCTCACCTCACCACCTGCTGCAGTACTCAACATCATTTCTGGTAAGTAAAAATTTAGTGATATGTTCATATATTATCGTGTTACATCATGAGTGACTCATTGTATGTGGTTAAAACCAACTGATTTCATACATATGTCTGCTTGTGTCACGTTTTTGGGCTTCAAAAATTTTCTGCAGGAACGCATCTCATGGAATATCATGTTGTGGAAAGATTTTCAGGAACAAAACCTTTCTGTAACCCGAGGGATGCCTGTACTGCACTGTACTGTACTGTACTGTACTGGTCATAAGTCTCCATTACTCACAAGTTTAAAAAAAAAAAAAAAAAAAAAAATTATATATATATATATACAGTATATATATATATATATATATATATATATATATATATATATATATATATATATATATATATATATATATATATATATATATATATATATATATATATATATATATATATATATATATATATATATATATATATATATATATATATATATATATATATATATATATATATATACTGATTTATTTATTGTATGTGGCAAGTTAGTTTTAAGAGTGGGTTGTTTTGTGTTTACTTACCTCATAGTCACTACAAGAAGCTCTTGTGGAGGTCTCAAGCATCACAACACACTATCTCTTGCTACTAACCCAAGTATTTAAGCCCTGTAATTACATTAGTCTAAATGCCACTAATATCTGAATTATCTACTCACTGAAACTAGAGTAGACTGTCTAACACTATGTTTTCTGTGTGTTTGTAGGTTAAACTCTAACACTTCCTTTGGTGAGGGCTGCTCCATCTCAAGGGGTCAGTATGAGTGAGTGCTCAAGTGTGTAGGCAGTGGATGTTGCTCTAGGAGGGCCTTAGCTTGTTCAGGATGTCCACCTGGGTATAACCCTTCACACATCTCAACTCACATATTGAAGTTTTCATGCCTCATCTTAATTCAAATGACAAATTTGGATGTTTATTTATTTTTTATAATAAACTATTATGTAATATTAATCATTTGATGGTGTCAAAGGGGGACCCATAATTATGTATATATATTTGGTGGACATCCTAGCTTAAGGTGATGCTCTCCTGCCCATAGATTCTAGGTCAAGTGTAGGGTTGATAACAGTGTCGTCGTTGTTGTCTCGTTTCAGCCAGCCCTCCGCGCTCCTAAGAGTCGAGACAGTTCGCTCGATCCTCCTTTTGTCCCACTGGCACTTCTTGGTTTTTTGCGCAAGAGCATGTAGATGTTATACTGGGGTAGTTGAATGGTCGTGTACATATAGCATGCTGGGATAGATGCTCAGCCACTGTCTTGACATTTTCCCCAGTTGTTTTTTAACAGATGTTTACAAGTTTTGATGACCAGGATATAATTAGAACAGTTAAATACGGTAGTCATCTATCCCATAACCTTGTTTTATATTTTTTAATTACTGTTTTAGTAAAAACTTTCACTGTGCATGAGTGAATAATTTTATTTTGTGATTATATTGTAGTAGTTATGTACTCATGTATATTGTACAGGTATATACAAGGGGCCTAATTTCACAGGTATTTTATGAAGTTTTGTGTTGCTCTATAGAGTGATGTAAATTAATGAATATGTGTAGAAATATATTAGTAATCAAGATGTTGCTGCATGCTATAGTTTGGCTTGAGTCAGTGGTGTGTTGATGAGTGTCATTATTTGCATCCATCTCATCACTTGATGTATTTTATCTCTTGTGATGTGTCATATTATTATATTTTTATATGCTTGGCTGTTTCCTGAGAATAATATTGTGATTAATTTATGTATTTTTTTTAACTCAGTACTAGTTATTCCAGTTGGTTATACTGTTCACTGCTCCTGAAAAGTGAATTAATAATGAAATTGGAGTTGATGTTTTCTCTCATGGTAATACCATACATGAAATTGTTTTATGTCAAATAATTGTTTCACAGTATAACATATACAATACAACATTCATGTTTTGTGTTTTATGCACTGCTAAACTTTCCCAATTCAGCATTTGGTCAGCTAAGACAAATAAGTACATTGAAATGAATTAATGAGAAGTCCTGTTTATGTATCTTTTAGTGGTACTTCATTGACACACATACTGTACCATGAACTCTTACTCCTGACATATATTGAACATTTTCTCTTGCTTGTTATGCTTCACAAGTTTCTACCTTTGTAAAGCAAATGTGTTGTCAATAGTTTTCACCTCACTTATTATTAAATTGCACAGCTTGATACTATTAAGACAACTGACTCAAAATGGAACATATATGACACCTTTAGCCAAAAATATATCTGTCAAGTCCTTAAACTCAGAGCATAAATATAAGGACGGGATTAAGTGCTGTTTTTTTTTGCGAATTTATACTTTACACGGCTGTGAAATCCCACTACTACATTACTTGTTCCATTTTAATCAGTTTACCAAATTAAGTCTTGACAAGCTTTCGTATGGATCCACATCTTCCCCACTTATGGCTCATAGCTCATGGGAAAAATTAACCTTTGGATAAGATGATGTTAGTAATGAGTAGTTGTACCACTGAATCAGTCCTCTGGTAGGACCTTCAACATGAGATGACTTCAAGTTTTATACATTATAAATAAGGGAGAGTGTGGGTTATTCTATTTTGGCCAGCATGCATTAAAGTGTAAGAATGAACAAAATAATTCCTTCAGTTTAATGCAAAACTTAAACCCACGTTGATCAATTTAAAATATATTTTAAACTTGGAAGACAATATAATATAATATAATATAATATAATATAATATAATATAATATAATATAATATAATATAATATAATATAATATAATATATGGAAGAAAATTGCATCTTAATCTTTATTTAAAGTAAAGGAATTAGCAGACTGTACATTACATTAATGAGTGATTGTATTGTATTAATGAGCAAGGAAATATAAGATGAAAGAGCTTATGCTCAATATTTGTCATATACAGTACAGTGTACAGTATTTAATAAAAAAAAATATTGAAGACAATAATCAAATTAGTCTTTCTGTACATGAACAATCACTGAAAGTTGTGTGGAGAAAAGTGAACTATATTATTTCCACGCTAACCTGGCCCATAAGCCACACCCCTCTTCTATACCAATAGCTGATTGGTTTATAGAAAATTCAAACTAAATTTGTTCACAATTATTGGTGAACAGGTCTGTTATTATCTAAAATAATGTTAAATATCTGGACTGTCAAAATACAAATGATTCCAAGGCATTAGCACTAAAGAGAGGATGTTTGAAAATTAAAAATACAGCTCCTCCCCGACTTACGACGGGGTTAGGGACCCAAATCCAGGTCGTAAGTCGAAAATGCTTAAATAATACATAGAAAATCTAAAATGGGTGTCTCTTTTTCTTATCAGCACCACAAAACTCACTTTTAAGCTTGCCAGCCATTTTAAAGTGAATTACAAACGGAAATTTTGTCTGTAATGACGTTGGGACTCGAAAATACGTAATTTGACAAAATTTTGGTACGACTGAGGCAGGTTGTAAGTGCGGGTGGTCGTAAGTCGAGGAGTACCTGTATACAGCTCCTCCCCGACTTACGACCTACTCGACTTACGACCACCCGCATTTACAACCTGGACATACGACCGCCTCAGTCGTACCAAAATTTTGTCAAATTACGTATTTTCGAGTCCCGACGTTAGTGATTACGCTGTGTACTGAAAAAATTTTCGTTTGTAATTCCCTTTAAAATGGCTGGCAAGCTTAAAAATGAGAGTTTTGTGGTGCTGATAAGAAAAAGAGACACCCATTTTAGATTTTCTATGTATTATTTAAGCATTTTTGACTTACGACCAATTCGACTTACGACCTGGATTTGGGTCCCTAACCCTGTCGTAAGTCGGGGATTGCCTGTATATCATAAAAGGTTGATATAAATACGCACTTATATACGAGCATTCTGGGGGGAGGTAGAACCAATCAGCAATTTGTAGCTATAGACGAGGGGCGTGGCTTACTGGCTAGGTTAATGTAGAAGGGGTATAGTGAATGGTATCCTTACTCACCATGTTTTTAGTGCAGAAGAGAACACACTGTATGTGACAGTTGAACAGTTTTAGTGCAGGAGTTTGTCTTTTAAGAAACACTTTAATCCCATGTGTGAGCCAAAAGTCGGGGTCAGTGAGCCAATGTTGTTGACGTTGTTTGTTGTTGTGCCAGAGGAGGACTGGGAGAAGGAGCTCCGTGAAGAACTTGGAGAGGAGCTGGGCGAGTACGAGGTGGTGGGTGGAGCTGGAAAGGACAACGAAAAGTGGGAAGAAGAGATTCAAAATATGATCGACGACGAAGACTCTGGAGATCTCCGATAATTATTAACCTAAATTGCAGAGATCCAATGTTTATATATTCAGATACAGTACTTAGACTCTTTAGGAATAAGGTAATATTTGGGTCATAACTGAAACAACAGAGATGTATGACTAGCTGTTTAAAATCAAAGGCTATTCATGTTTTATACCAGTGATTAAGAAGTTAAATATGTCTTATGTGAATTAAGATGTAAATATGAAAACAGCATCCCACAGTTGAAAGAAGTAAGACTGGGTCAAGTTATCAGTTATGAATACGACATTTACTTAACAATTAAAAGTATATTGTGATTGTTACTGAAGCATTTATCTTTTACACTTAACAGTAAGAGTGATTGCCTTGTATGGTTAAAGGATGAAAATATTTATTGTACTCTGTAATTGTGATCAGTCCTAAATTCCTTTGAGGCTAATGATGGGAAATTCTAAGAATAATGTTTAACAATTGCCATTCTCGTCATCTTCCACTTAATAATACCCAGCATATATGCAGATAAAATAAGAAACAAGAGTGTATAATTGGATACGGCCTCTTTAGCTTTAGACCTTTGTTCTGTAAAGCTCATTTTCTTATGTTAAAAACAGAAAATGATCCTAACAGATATAAGTCATGTAACATTAGTATCAGTTTACATTCCTAGTACCTCCATCCTCTCATTGGTTTGATACAAGGCCGCACTACCCACACTCCATGAATAAGACATTTGAAGTCAAGGTATTGTTGCCTTGTGAAAACTGGACCTAAAAATCAATGAGACGAATGGAGCTCAAGGACAGATGAACACATTTAGTGGAACACCAGACCTGGAGGATGAACAACAATATTGTTGTTGATGAATTTTTTATGAAATAAAAGACTGATCAAATATAAACAAGTTAATAAAGAAGGTTATGATAATCTGCACTGACAAATTTGTCAAATTGATAAATGAAAGCATAAAAAATATTTCGGTGTGTGCTTCGGTGATTTGAAAGACATTTTTGTTAGTTGAGAAGCTGTCAGTGTGAAGAAGTTACCAGGAGGTAAATATGTATCTCAGCCCATACAGTACACCTCCACATTCACACTTCAGGAATATTACGTCCACTCTGTACTACCTGAAGGTGTACTGCAACCAAACTCATTTGTAGTTGGGAATCAGTAGAATGATTTTAATTTTATTGCTTGGTAAATTAATTGTCTTTCATTGCAATAATAAAAACAAGTCTCTGCTTCCATCATCCATAAACAAAAATTGTTCTCACACTTAATAATTTTATCAAGATTTGTAATTATGTGCCTTATGCATTGGAGTAGGAGCTTCAGTTTCCAATTTTTGTAAGAGGATAACTGAACTTGATTCCAGCTCTACATAGGGCTCGTAATGGCTGATCTAGTCACAACATGATGTGCACGTTAAGCACTAAGTAAACAGTGGCGGGCTACCTTGACGCTACCGCTCTTAACGGTGTCAACATGTGATGTGACCTAGTGATTTAATGCTTACATTTGGATATTATTAATGATATGGATTTTAGAAGCTTTCATCCATCGGCTTCTATAAGACATATTTGACTCTACAGTTCAGTGGCAGTCAACAAAAATAAACATAATCAGTGATACTGCAAGAAATCACAGGTAGCTGTCACATTTTACTGTGCTTAATTATGCAAGAAAGTAGTTCTCTTTTGCTGTTTTTTACTATGTGTTTATTTCAATTTAGGAGACTCATACACTGGATGACATTTTTATGACCATTGTTACATGACAGTGTGTTTTCAGAAGTTTTGAGAACTAAAGCAGTTATTTCTAAACAAACTTTTGCACAGTGTAAATGAGCACATCAGATCCTCAGATCTCATGCAGCCCACTTTATGGGCCCATATTCTCAAAGAAGTGTTGACTAAAATTCTTCCTGTAATTAGAGACAAGAGAAAGCAACTACCGTACTTTCAGTTGAGTCTCAGTCTAGTTATGATCCCATTTTGGACATTGTATAAGACGTGTAGTTCAGGTGAGATTGTACGATACTTTCTTACGTCTCCAGTTATGAGGAAAATTTAATGAACACAGTTTTAAGAATGTCGCCCCAGGATGGTAATCAGCAAGAAGTGGAGAATTACTGACACCAACAACATCAAGAGGCCAGTGTGCTGTGGACAGACTCTAAGTAACACCTTGCATTGCTTTACACAGCTTTATGTGGGAAAATATTGATAAATAATATATACAGTACGTATGTCATTTTGATTTGGCAGAAAAAAATATTTATTGAGTTTGTATAAGAAATACAGTACTGTACTGTATACTTATTTTATGGTTTGTAATATATTTAGTTTGAATGAATGCTTAAATATCTTATAAATAACTGTAGTTATTATTTAAGTAATGCTGATGTAGCTCCTCCTTATGATTGATCTTTTTCTCTGATCTTCAGGATTTTATTAGTTGTAATGGAAAGTATCACATAATATGATAGTGATAAGTTCTTGCAATATTTTTAATAGGGTTTATTTACTTTTATATTTATCAAGTTTATGTTAGGGATAGTAACACTCCATAAGTGCATATTACTGGTGTTGAATTAAAACTCTTTACTCACAATCTTCATGATAAACTATCTAGAAAAATCTTCACAGCTCTCCTTCAGGATGTGTGATGTAAAAGTTGTATGAAAGAGTGAGTCATAATTCCATTTTGTGAGTGATGGAACCAACAACAACAACAGCAGCATCATAAGGTGGACTTGAATGTCCTGTATTTTAACACTGGACCAATGGTCATTTTTAAGGGTCTCAGGCCAGTAGGCAGCAAACAATCATTAAAGTACCTCTTAAGTTGTCTGTAGGCTTATGCTTGAACTGAAACGAGACGCTTCCTTGGGATAACTTGGGCACAGACGACTTTGAATTATGTACGATTGTAAACAAACCGCCTGGACACTGGGCCCTTCTTCAGCTTCTTCATAAATTGTTGGCCATAAAGCTTTATACTGTATGATAGTGATCAGCCTCAGTGGTTCTCTGCCTCTATATTTCTGGAGTATATGTTATTACCTCATTAGGATTAATGTTTATTTTGTGAAAAAGTGATGCCGGTAAAATTTTACTGCAGCTACAGTTATTTAAAGTTGTTGTAAAGCTACAGCTGTATTTTATCCTAGTTTTATATATATACAGGTATATATATATATATATATATATATATATATATATATATATATATATATATATATATATATATATATATATATATATATATATATATATATATATATATATATATATATACACTATAATATAATATATACAGTTATTACTCTGCAGAAATGATGTATTTTCAGTGTAAAAAAATGGAATCCATGAAATGTTCATAGAAATATTAATGTCACTGTTAATGTTTGAGAATATAAGAAAACACTTTAAAAACCCATAAGACCCCATCAAGATGTGAAGAAGCTGAGAGTGACCACACCTCCCCTGGCACACTGCACCATCTTCCTGCACTGTGACAGTATGGAAGGTGCCTCAACATGTAGCTAGACGGATGTTGTGTGATGGTTTGTTTGTATGTATGTTTGTTCATTGTTTGGCAGCTGTCCTCTGCCATGTGATGTAGAAATGTTGTCCCTTACTATGTTATACTATGGTACCTGTGCCCAGTAAAATGGATTAACTACATAGTGCTTTTATTGCCCTTAGTAATTTTAACTTTACTTGCTTATCCTTCAAGAAAGTCCACTCTCCTTACTCAAAAACTATGTGACATTCAGTACTGCTGTGTATTATTGCCTTAATCTCCTCCATCAACCTGGCCAAATAAGTCTCCTTACATTCTTGTACAGCCTCTTCCACTTCCAACTGTGGTGTGAACCCCAGGAGTATCAACTCTTGAATCCGAATTTTTAATAATAATAATAATAATAATAATAATAATAATAATAATAGTGATATCTCCATTAACCGGAACAATTGGTGCAGAGCACTTCTAGGTACAGTGAGTTCTGCTATAACTCGTGTTTTGATAACACGAATTTGCTCTAACGCGATTTATGAATTAGGAACGATATTTGTATGACGCGAACGCTTGTTTGCTATAACGCGATTTTTGCTTACTATTTCTCCAATTTTGTGGTATTAACTGTGAATATGGTAAAGAAGAATATCTCCAAGAAGCGTTCTGGTGATAGAATTCCCGGTGATTATCGTAAAAGAAAGGATATAACACTTGAAGAGAAGCTCGATGTTATCAACCTCAAAATCACCCTTCTCCCTCATCAAGTTACATTCATATTTTTTCAAGGTAAAGTGTTACATTTACTGTATGATTTCATTATTAGATATGAATGTAACATTTATTTAGACTGTGCTATCCTTTGTGTTAGGCTAACTACTAAATTTTTTCGATTTCGAGTAATCTGCACCTTACCCTATTTTCTCCATAAGCCCTGTTATTTCTATTACGCGATTTTCTATAACACGATATTTTACAAGAACACAATTATCGCGTTATAGCAGAACTACCTGTAATGGGACGACTCTCTTAAAGCCGGAAAAAATCCCTCATCCCCGGAGTTTTCCAGAATTTTCCAGGTACCGGAAAAGTTTTCTGAATTTCCAGAAAATGCATCTGATTTTCATCTCTCAAACCTGGAAAAAAAAACCCATCCCCGGAATTTTCTGGGTATCGGGAAAATTTTCTTGTAATTTTCCGAGAAAATTTCAATTCCGGCTATCGGAGAGTTCTGGGTTTGAGGAATTCTGGCTAATGGAGATAGTAATAATTAACGATTTATTGAAAATGTATGACAGCCGGGAGGCTGAAAATATGCAGTTACATAATTGGGAAATGGGTCACTTGATTGACAAATAATATACAAGTTACATATATGATACAAATATGATATATAATAGTTAGGTGGGGAGAGGTTATGCTACACAGCATTTCAGCATAGTAACAGTGCAAAAAGGTAAGAATGACGGAGTGAACACACTGGTTGATTACGAGTTGTTGATAATTTTTACAATGGTTGGGACTGAGCTGTTCTTTTAGCGATCAGTACATGCTCGTATGGGCTGGATGCGGTTGTGGTGTCGAACAGCAATTCACGGACGAGGGATTTTGGGTGGAAGTAGGAGCTGGTGTCGAGGATGGTGCAGAAGCTTCTCACCAAATTTGCAGATGAGGTCGTGGTGATGTTCAGAGAGAGCCGAGAGGGTCAGCGTGTTGAGCGCTTCTTGATATGTGGAGTAGGAAGAGGAGAAAATAATCTTGCATGCCCCTTTTTGCACTTTTCCTAGGTGTTTACATTGTGTGGCATTTAGGGAGAAAGACCAGGCAGGGGAGGCATAGGTGAGCTTGGGAAGTATGAATGTTGAGTAAACACTGAGGAGCTCGGGTGCAGGAATTCTGAGGGACTTGAGTGTGGGAGGGAGGGAGGGAGGGAGGGAGGCCAGAGGAGGACAGGAACTGATGTGTGAGTGGGTGGCAGGTAATACAGGGGTTGAGGAGGGTCAGAGTGTAGGGAGGCTAGAGGGGTGGGAGTGAGTTATGCAGTTACCTGCTCACTTACAACGCAGTAGGTAGTAGGCAGCTATCAAACAGGGAGGTACTACTGCTTGGGAAGATATTGGAAGCATAATGTGTTGTCTTATGGTAGACCCGGCTGCCATATGGCATCACAAAAATTGTGACCAAGTCCCAGGTTGCTGATCTGTCTTTCTGCTTCATTTACACACAATTGCAGGGTCTCAATTGTTTCTCTTAATTTTGACAACACAACATACATATATCATTTCTCACTATTGATATTTTTTTTATGGCTCTGTTATTACAAGGGGTATTATTTTTATTTTTATTTATAATTTTTATAATTTTTTATTATTATTATTTTCTTTTATAATAATTGTTATTTATTTTTAAATATTTGTATTACTTTTATTATTACAGGTTGACAACCCTTTATCCGAAATTTCGAAAACCGAAAAGCTCTGAAAACCGAAAGTTTTTTTGTGGGGCTATATATATATATATATATACATATATATATATATATATATATATATATATATATATATATATATATATATATATATATATATATATATATATATATATATATATATATATATATATATATATATATATATATATATATATATATATATATATATATATATATATACAGTAGTACCCGCTTAACGCGTCAATTGAACCCACAGGGTACCGCGTTAAATGAAAACCGCTAAGTGAAAACCGCTTAAGTGAACAACAGAACATATGGGATTAATTCCAATAGAGACTGGCCCGACCCCCAAACTCCACTTTTTGACGACACACAACTATGTTGTAGTAAAAATTTTATCTTAACTTTATGATGGTATGCACACACAATTAATAATTAAGAGAAATATCAATAATATTAGGTTTTTTAACACTTGCATTAGTAGAAAAGATGGCTGGGCACACGGGGATGGGGGGTTGGTTCCGAGGCAGAGGGCAGATTATTGGCCCTCGCCTGTATCACTTGTATCAATTGTATCACTATCCACCACAGAGGCTTGCAGGGCCTATTTGTCAAACCCCTCAAAGGCCATATAAGTCCATATCCTCACTATAATTATCACTATCACTGACTTGGGCCGGCTGTGGTGGGTGGCGGGTGAAGAACTTGGTAATGTTTTGATGACTGGGCGACCTTGTGCGCATCGTGCCCGCGCCGCTTCCCGCGTATATGATGAAAAATTCCGCTTTAAGTGAAAGTTCAGCTCTGGCGAGGCACCGCGTATATGATAAAACGCGTTAAGTGAAACCGCGTTAGGCGGGGTAATACTGTATATATATATATATATATATATATATATATATATATATATATATATATATATATATATATATATATATATATATATATATATATATATATATATATATATATATATATATATAATATATATAATATAATATAATATAATATAATATATATATATATATAATATAATATATATATATATATATATATATATATATATATATATATATATATATATATATATATATATATATATATATATATATATATATAATATAATATAATATAATATAATATAATATAATATAATATACAGTATATAAAACAGGGATTAGCCCACCCGGACATATATCACTGATCCACATCAGGGCTTGGGGGTCGAAAATGTAATAGTAATAATAATTATTCATAGTAAATAAAATTTTTAATAAAAATACACCAAAATAAAATAATATAACATTAATAGTAATAATAGTAATAAAATCAATAAAAATAACAATAATACAGGAGTACTGTAATAATAAAATAATAATAATAATAATAATAAAGAAATACAAGAATGAAAAAAAGATCAAGTGAGAAACATGACCTAGACCTATGAATAATTATTATTATTATTATTATTATTATTATTATTATTATTATTATTATTATTATTATTATTATTATTATTATAATAATACAGAGTAATAATATTTTCGCCCCCCCAGGTCCCGATATGGGTCAGTGATCTATGCCTGGGTGGGCTAATACACATAAAAAAAAAACATTCTGAAAACCGAAAAATTACAAAATCCGAAATGCCTCTGGCCCCAAGGATTTCGGATAAGGGATTGTCGACCTGTATTGTTATAATTTCTTTTATTATAATTGTTGTTTTTTTTTATATTTTTATTAACTTTATTACTATTATTATTATTATTATTATTATTATTATTATTATTATTATTATTTTTTTTTTTATTATTATCATCATCATAATTATTATTATTTTATTATATTTTCGCCCCCCCCCTTCCCCCCCAGGCCTTGATGTGCGTCATTAAAAATGTGCTCGGGTGGGCTAATGCCCGTAAAAAAAAATAAAAATTACGTACGATAAAACACAAATTATTAGTAGTGTGTGTTACAGCACATTAGGGTAGTATTCCCAGCTTGTGCTGCAGGTCTGAACCATTCTATGCATATATACTGTCCAGAATTTAAAAATTAATAGGCCACTGTGATAACAAACCAATCCCCCTCCTCAAGTTGCACACACAAACATTGGTCATGCTGTATCCCTCTATGTCCTTCCCTCCTCCTGTTGAACCTAAACAACTGTCATTTAGTCCAGGGGTGATAGGGGGATGGGCTGGGCCCTGTACATATGGTGTCCATTTATGACAGTTGCATTTATGGAATAACGGATGCATGCCTAGTAAGTTGTCAAACACTATTACAGGTTGTACCTCTCTAGTCCGGCATTCTGTGGTCCGGAAACTCCCGTGGTCCGGAACGATTTTAGTTTGTCCAATAGGTAGATAGGCAGCTTTTTTTTTTCTTTTTCTTTTTTTACTTATCTGAATTATTATTATTATTACAGGAGTATTAAATTTTTGCCCCTCAGGCTCCAATGTGGGTCAGTGACCTATGCCCGGGTGGGCTAATCCTCGTAAAAAAAACAACAACAAAGCCGCGGGAAATTAAGGTTTGTTTACATCCGGCAGTTCGGCTGCTCTCTCTCTCTCTCTCTCTGCTTGTCTATACAGAGTACAACATTTAACCCTTCAATATATATGAGCAGTAAATAAGTGTTGCTTTCATATTCTTATGTAGAGTAATGACGATATGTTTTCACATGTGCGCACTTACATATGCGCAGTCT